GTATCTTTAGTTCTTAAGGACTCAAATCAGCATACGATCAATGTAACGAAATTACATAAACCTATTATTGTTGAAATACCAATTGGAAACTGTGGGAGTAAGTATGATATGTACAATGTAAATACAGAGGTAAAGAAGGAAATAAAGATATAGATATGTATGTAATCACTCGTTTTCTATTCGTTGTTATGTAGATATGGTCGAGTGTTGAATTTTGTCTAGTTTATAGAATTGTTTTTAATTTTTTTTAGATCGATATTTTGCTAATATTTTGAATATTTTAAACATGATAATGATGGGTTACACCTTTAAATATGAATCTGCTTACTCTTCCCGAGCACCTGAGATCACCCCCAGTTTTTGGTGGGGTTCGTGTTGCTTAGTCTTTAGTTTTCTATGTTGTGTCATCTGTACTATTATTTGTCTGTTTGTATTTTTATTTTTCGATCTCTTAGTTTGAATGTCCCTCTGGTATCTTTCGTCCCTCATTTATAGTCTTAAGCCGAATTACCATGAAAGCAAATGCCTGTTCGAGATGGCATGCGTTATTGCTTGCAATTGCAGTTCTCGTTCTGCTTTTTATTCAACATTTTTTTGGTCTGCCAACATTCTGGTAAATGACTGGATCTATATTGCTTCAACTAAACAATAACGATAACCACCAGGTGTAGTTATTCATCTGACTGTAGAAACATCAAAAACGCTGAACTAATCACAACTAGATGAAACTTTACAGAAATGTGACCTGTTATGCATATGTGTGTATTTGTTGTTGACAATTTTTAGATATCTGGCGTTACCATACAAACAGCCTTATTGGGGTGATTTCTACTTTTATTGATTGCAAATCAAGTTATTCTTTCTAGTCCTTAGGACTATTCCATTAAAATGTATGTTGGAGGGTAGGAAGGGACTTTCAAAAAATCCCTACAACCAAGAACCATTTGTTAGATAATTTTGCATAATGGTAATTGACGCATACTGAAAAAGACCCATGACCACATTCAATAATTCAACTTCCCTTCCTGCCCTCCCAATGGAATAGCCCTTAGCACATAAATTTGTCAGCGACTGTTTTAAGATGAAATTGCTTGTCAGATTAACTTAATGTTCTACACTATTTTACTTGTTAAGTTGTGTATCGATGTTTTTTATGTACACGGGAGTATATAAAGGAGTACGTTGAGTTACCAACCGATTATAAGGGTTGAATAAAGCCCTGCGAAAATTTGTTTTTATCATATTTATAATGGTTATAATTGAGAACAGTGAGTGAAATTGCCATTAGATCGTTGAATATAATTTAAAGTCTACATAAATTTCTACAGGGTCAATGATTAATGGTCATATATTGAAAATTGATTAGGTCATATACTTTTTATTTAACATGTCAATATGCATTGACTTACACAGGCTAAATGCCGAAGATTCATTCACACCACCTGTAATTTATGAATGATGAAATATTTTGAAGATTGGTGGAGATATCATACCTTAAACCATATAACTTTGTTGTTTTTATTTCAGTCCAAAGGATATATAGTTATTGTGATTTTGTTTTGGATACTTTACAACAGCATCTTGTTACAATCATCACTTGTTAGATTTATATTCATAGAATATAATGTCTGTCAGGGACTTTAATTGAATATATATAGTTTGTGGTATAACTGCTGTCAGAATTCTTTTTTTAAGAATCAAAGTAAACACCATTGAAAAATCCGTACATTGACCTATAATTTCTTATAAACACGTCATTTAGTTTTTGTTTGATAGCTGTTGTAAGCGATCATACCATACATACCTCATCTCAACGCTAATTATTAACCAATATAAAAAATTTCTTTGTGACAAATGGTGTTCTAAAGTTCCTCTTCTACTACAAAATATAGTACTATAGGATTCTGAAAATCTTTATTAGCATGCTTTTAATAACTTCTACCCAGAGCATTTTAATCGGTGAATTGTTTCATATACATGTATATACTAATTACCTATATTTTGCGTGTCAGTATTACTGTAACGAATTTTCATGAATGTTGCTTGACTTCTTTTACTGTAATATTATCATGATTATGTCTTAAAGAAAAAACGGAATTTAGATAAAGATCATGGATTCGATCCTTTTTTGATTATAATTATTTCTATTCAGAATGTTTCATGCAACTATCAAAACCAGCATAATCATAACATTCTGTGTAAATTTTGCAGATGACGAAAAATACGACGAATTTATTTTCAATACCAACAATGACATACGAGATTACTTCCTACGACTTGTAGTGACACAACCGGCAGACATGTTTTACATGCTAAAGCTAATTACAGATGGCCCACAGCATAACGTGTCAATAAACATTGCAATAAATTTTCATGAAAAGGTTACCCCATCAGATGCAGAAAATGGGGTTCTAATGGACAACTCACAAACGGCATTCCTAAAAGACCCTCAAGAGAAAACGCTCTACTGGAGTATAGGTCTTATCATCAATCATCAGAATAGAACAAATGGGAAAGTTAGGCAAAATATTACTGTCAAAGTTTTGTCGACTGCCATTACTTGTAGATACTGGAATAATACTAGCAGATGTTGGTCATCAGGTGGATTTAAGGTAACTCTTGTAATAAAACAAATACGACCTTGTCTGTTCTGACATGACAAAGTAATTTTCTTTTTCTTTTTTAAATTTAAGTGCAAAAAAAATAATTGCTTATAATCTTATTATGAAATGATAATTTTCATTTATATGCTTCGACTTTGATTTTCTCGCTGTGTTGAAGACCCATTGGTGGCCTTCGGTTGTTTTTTTTTTTACTATTTGGTCGGGTTGTTGTCTCTTTGACACTTTCCCAATTGCCTTTCTTTATTTTTTTTTGACACATTTTGTAGCTTTATGCGTTGTACCACACGGATCATGAAATTACTGTTCTTCAGCTTCATTCAAACTGTAGCTTTTTAGCTCACCTGGCCCGAAGGGCCAAGTGAGCTTTTCTCATCATTTGGCGTCCGTCGTCCGGCGTCGTCCGGCGTCGTCCATCGTCGTCCGTCGTCGGCGTAAACTTTTTACATTTTGAACTTCTTCTAGAGAACCACTGAATGGAATGAAACCAAACATGGCATGAATGTTCCTTATGAGGTGCTGACCAAGTGTTGTTACTTTGTAGCGGATCCATCATCCAAGATGGCCGCCAGCGGGGGACTTAGTTTAACATAGGACCTATGGGAAATACATACAAATGTCTTCTTTTAGAGAACGACTGAATGGAATGAAACCAAACATGACATGAATGTTTCTTATTAGGTGCTGACCGAGTGTTGTTACTTTGAAGCCGATCCATAATCCAAGATGGCCGCCAGCGGGGGACTTAGTTTAACATAGGACCCTATGGGAAATACATACAAATGTTTTCTTCTAGAGAACCACTGAATGGAATGAAACCAAACATGGTATGAATGTTCCTTATGAGATGCTGACCGAGTGTTGTTACTTTGAAGCCGATCCATAATCCAAGATGGCCGCCAGCGGGGGGACTTAGTTTAACATAGGACCCTATGGGAAATACATACAAATGTCTTCTTTTAGAGAACCACTGAATGGAATGAAACCAAACATAGTATGAATGTTCCTTATGAGGTGCTGACCGAATGTTGTTACTTTGAAGCAGATCCATATTCCAAGATGGCCGCCAGCGGGGGACTTAGTTTAACATTGGACCCTATGGGAAATACATACAAATGTCTTCTATTAGAGATCCACTGAATGGAATGAAACCAAACATGGTATGAATGTTCCTTATGAGGTGCTGACCGAGTGTTGTTACTTTGAAGTCGATCCATAATCCAAGATGGCCACCAGCGGGGGACTTAGTTTAACATTGGACCCTATGGGAAATACATACAAATGTTAGCCTGGTGCAGCAAAATATTTCATCAGTCATATCTAAGTGATCTTTAATGCATTAGAAAGATCTTTTAAAAAGAAATACACTACATTTTATTTCATGGAGATTGGATGTATAGTTTTTGAGGTACGACATTTTGAAAGTGTTGAATATGATATATTTTTAGACCGTTTCTATGATAATTTTTGTACAGTAAGATGGCACCAAAAACAGTTAGAAAAGCCAAAATCAAATAATGAAAATAACAGAACTTTTTAATGCCTGAACCTTTTGATGTAAAATTTTAAATACATATAAAGAAATATAAGTACCTTAAATGAGTATGAAAATGGAAATTTTTTTTGTTGGAAATTGAAAAAAAAATCCATAGTTACCATGGTAACGAAACAGAAAAACATGAAAATAACTGCTTTGAAGGCTTTTAACTTGCAATAGTACCCACAGAAGTCAGTTTTTTTATAGGAATTATTAGTTTCTTGATAAAACAAGTTAAGGGGTTTAATTTCTGCTGTTGTTTTCTGATATTTGATTATTAAATATTCAGTTACCATGGCAACAGAAAGCTTTATTTCATATTTTCGTGAAAATTTCTTCTCAAATGATAAAAATTAGAAACGTGGAAACTTTTCTGTATTACAAAAGACGAGGACTATTGTTATGACAAATTTAGGGTTGAAAATGCTTATAAAATATAATAATATATGTATTTTGTTTCCATAGCAACAGTATAAATTCTGAAATTGTAAAGAAAATGAAAAAATATCAAGTTGTTAAGACTAAATTTTCATACATCCTTAATGAATCTTAACAACTTGAATATAAGAAACACTGACTGAGTGACATTTATTGATACAATAATTGTAGTATTGTGTTTACTCATTGTTGAAGGCTGTATGCTGATAGATCTAGGTCACTGACTCTGGTAGATGGTGGATGGTTGTCTCATTTGCAAATATATTGCATCTTTAATTTTTTTTGTTTTAACGACTTTTTGAGTATTTCATTTCATTTAACAATGATTAAGTATATTCAAGAGTTCTCAAAACACATGTAAAGTTAGCATATTTTTGTTTTTGTGGTTATGCATGTACCGTCAATTGTCACCTTTTTTCAAATATTTTTTTCAATGCAAAACCTCAAAAAAAAATGCATATTAAAATCAGAAAATTGAATTACCAAAAATTTATTAATAATTAACTATAAATAAGACCTGTGAGTAAGAAGAACATCACAACACTATCAACAAAAAAACTAGACTTTCACATTCAGTTAGAACTAGAGCAGTAATTTCTATATTTTGTAGTGATTGTTTGTAAACATTTTTTTTCCAGCTTCCATGATCTAAGAGAAGAATCATTTGGTCCGATTTCATTATCAAAATCGAAGTGAATAACAGTTTTAATATAAGTAGTTTCAACTGCTGGTGGTGAACACCACTTAAATGTACATGTATTTGTACTAGACCGTTCCATAAAGTTTACAGTAGCAGTTTCTTTTGATAAAATTTCTTCGACCTGACCTATGTACCAATCTGAAAGACCTGCGACAGCAATCCACTGATTTACTTTGAAATCTTTGTAATTGCTAATAAAAGTCATATTTGCATTGATTTTGACATCATGGCTTCTCTTATGTTTTTTAACAGCTGAAGTTACTTCCTTTTCATTTTCTAGCTTACGTTTCCTTGTTTTGTTGGAATTATTTGTTTTGTTGGAATTATGTTCACGATTTATGTTTAAAACTGTGCTTTGTTTTTTCACAACCCTGACATTTTTCAAATTGTCCTTTTCTGACTTTAATAATTGATTTCTTTCTGTTAATGGTCTTAAATTTTCTTCTTTCCTAGGGACATCCAAGTCAATTTCTACACCAACATGTATGTTACAAGAATACTTTTGGATTATTTGGATAAGATTGTTTTTTAACATGTCTATACTTAATGCCTTTCCTTCAGTTGAAAACCTGTACAACACATTATTTGCTTCAAAACTTAAAACACATTTATAGTACTTTAACTGAAATTTTAAAGCAACAATTTTCATGTGAGAAGTTTTAAATTTTGATAGAAGTTTTTTAACATCAGTTTCAGATTTGCATTGTCCATATCTTAATATATTATCTATTATCTTCTGTTTCTCTGCAATTTTTTTCATTTTTTTTCTTTTGATTTCATCGGCTCTTATTTGTAACATTTCAATTCTTTTGTTTTTTATATCTTTGGATCTTTGTCGCCACTTTTCTATAAATTTTGGCAACAATTTAGATACTTTTTGCATAATATCAGCCTCATTACATTGAGTGTCAAGCCAATCAGAAGTTTTATTATTAACATATAAAACCATTCCTTCAATGTGAGCCGTAGTTGCATTAGGTTTGAATCTTTTAATTCTGTCTAACTGACCAAAATTTGATTCATTCGATTGATTTGTTTTAGGAACAGATTGACTAATCAGCATCAAATCCTCATTGGGATCAGCATGCTTCCCTCCAGTTAAGTGATCGACTAACTGCCTTTTAATAACGCTTAAAATACTGGCCAATACAAGTTCTAAAGCCTGTGTTGTTAAAACATCCAATTCTTCGCTGTCTTCGTCCACAGCATGTAAAGCAAAGAAACCAAACAAATCTTTTTCGGGGGGGTAATTTTCAAACATTTGATAATTTTCATCAAACATTGGAGAAGAATCTTGTACTAAATTTGAAATACTATCATGTAACTTTTGGTAATACTGTGACATTTCACTTATAGACACATCATTACAATCAAGAAGTTTCCAAAGTGGACGATTGATATGGACATCCGTTAAACCAAGAGCTCTAACACCAGCAAGGGCAATTTTGGATTCAATGTCAGCATTTACAGATAGTAACAGATTATTACCTGTCCCATACATTTCAATAAAATCTTGTATATGTGTCAAATGACCATATACTGCTCTTGCATTTTGAAATAAAATGTTAAACCTATTCCCACGGAAAGGTACAAGATAATTTTTTAAACCATTTTCAAATAAATAGGCATTAAATTGCTGTGGCCTACCAGCAGTTTCACAACCATGTATTTGCAATAAGTTACAACACGAGCGTATTAATCTTTGAGCAGCAGACTCACTCCTTGTACCCCAGTTACTAAATTGGGATAAAGTTTTCATTCCAATTTTTTCTGCTGTACAAATTTCTTCAAATTTTTTCAACGATTTGTTAGAATAATCAGCAAAATTTGTTAGTAAATGTAATCCACAATAAAAATCATGAATTTCTATAACTGATTGCTGACATTGTTCATTTAAAGTTTCCCAGTTTTCTAAAGCTTTGGGTAATAATGTTTTTCGCCATTCTTCAAACAGCTTAACGTAAGGTTTATTTGTTGGACCTCTATCGCTCATAGTATTATGAATGGTTTTTACCATTTTGCTAATGACTTTTGTTAGTATTTCAGGATTTTTTTCATTAGTCAATGATACATAAATTTCACTTAATTCGTTAAACAATGCTTTTGTTGCATTTAATTGTGTTGCACTGTTTTCTGTTGCTAAGTCCATCAAACTTGCTGAATATGTTTTTTCTGAAGTTGTTATGTCAAAAGTAAAAAAATGTTCCCCCCACTTGCTTGTGCCATCAAACTGTAACGTGTTTGCAGAGTCCTTGCTTAAAATAGTATCTGCCAATTGAAATTTTGCCATCAAATTAGCTTGCAGAGCCATTCTTTTTGCAAATGTAACTTCTGGCATATCATTCAGTTCTTGACCAGTCATATTTTTTATGACTGATTTAATTACATTGCTGCACATGTTACAGCTAACACCTAATGATATTAATTCCATATATGTTTTTTTCATTTCATCACAAAACTCTCGTGACCCATCTTTTCTTGTCTTAAAAATAGGTATTTTTGTGCATTCTTCAATTATTTCCTGTAGGATGGCATTCGATTCTTGAAGTTCCTTGTTTTCGTCGCGCAATTTAGAAATATTTTCATTCTGTTTATTTTCAAAAAGTTCTGGTTTGGACTTAAGATATGATATTTTTTTTTGTAGATTTCTTTTATCCTCTTTCAAAACTAAGATTTCTTTTTCTCTTTGCATAACGCTTTCTTCCATAAAGGAAGATTTTTCTTTTTCATTTGTTAAAGTTTTGTTTATTGTTTCTAATTTAGAGTCTCTTCTCTGAATTTTTTTGTTAATGTTCCTAGTATTATACTTTTGAAGTTTGTTTATAACAGTTTCATATTTTTGTTTCAAGTCTGAAAGTTCTTTGTCTGATATTGTTTTATCTTTTATGATTTTATTTAGTTGATCAGATAATTGCTGATTTTCCTTATATTCTTGTGTAAGTTCTTCTTCAACTTCTTCTTTTTCATGTTGAAGTTGGTAATTTAAATTTTGAATTTGTTGACAGCACTTTAATGTTTTTATTTTCTGTTTTGAACACTTAGGATTTTCACAACCCTCTGCCAATATGTCTGTTGAGCTTGCTTTATTAGTACCCATTTTTGGGTACGTATACGTTTCATTTAAAAAATGTTCTGAAAAGCTATAGCCTTTTCTACTCATATCTAAACGATTTTTTAATAAACATTTAACAGAGTAACGCATTGCATGTTCTGAAAAAGTTTCGCTTTTAAGCCCCATTATATTATGAACCCACTTTGTTAATTCTGCGAAAGTGTAATTATTTGAGCTACGAAACTTTTCAAGTTCATATACAACACCATTAGTGACTTGACCACAAACAAAAGTATACAAATTATTTGAAAAAATTCTGAATTTTGAACAATGAATTCCTATGACGGTTGAATCTTCTGACAACAATAGAACTTCTCTTAAAACTTTTCTTTTAATTCTTCTGTATTTGCTTTATCAAACTTGTTTTCTATCTTCCTTATCAAATCACTTATTTTACTTGGTATCTTTACTCTTGAGTTTACTTTCTTTAGAAGACCCGGTAACTTTTCTTGTATATTTTGTTGTTCGTACCGAAGAATATCTCGTAACTGAATCACGAAAGCATAATTTATGTCTGAAAAATAAAAAAAGGAACCTACAGTTCGTGAAGAAGAAAAATCCCCTACCCCTCTATTTAGGATATTAAATTGTCTTTAATTTCATTTAAGTTCACTTTTTCTCTCTCTCGAAATTTATTTGAATGTTTTTATCAAGCAGAACTTGTATTGTTATTTTAAATATCTAATCAGGAAAGCATAATTCTTATCTGAAAAACAAAAAAAAGGAACCTACATTTCAAGAAAAAAATCCCATCCCCCCTATTGCCTTTTATTTCATTTAAGTTCACATTTTTTCTTGAATTATGTCTAGGAAGTTTTTTCGAATAATTTATCAAGTTTCATTTTAAATATCTAGTTTCTTTAATGTTAGGAAATTTATTTTATATAAGTTTTTCAACAGAGGATTGCGTAAAATCGAAAGTGAAACTTGATTTTCGTATTGTTTATAAATAGTTCACGTAGTTCATTCATGTTACCGGTATCCGTAAGTTCTTTATTTTAGCAAAGAAACATTTATCCGTATATTACTGTGCTAAATTACCTATGTTTTCACGTTTACACGCGTCTTCTAGTGATTTAAACACGCCATTTATTTGCGCTGCGGCTACAGAAATCGAATTCATTTTGATCTGGAACGTTATCGACTTTCAGAAAATTTTGAAGGTCGTGACCTTTTTTCAATGAAGTAAAGTCAGTATCGCTTTAGTTTCGCATCTTTTGACTAGTTACTGTTTGAAAAGAGCTAGTTTTATATTTTTTACTCGTATAACTTTCATCAAATACTTTTATAAAATAAATATTGAAAATTTTAAATGAAATTGTTTTTAAAATTTTAAAATTTGATAAAGCTATAATATCTTCAAGAAAGTTATACGAAAATAAAGCTTAAAATACGCGCTTTCATATTATGTTAATTTTAAATGTCTAAACAAACGGGCGGAGGTGGCAAATTTAGTCAGAACTCGAGATCGCTCTAAATTTACGCTGTCCAACTATCATACCGCGTATAAATTTCGGAAACGTCGCCGAGTTTAAACATTCGGAAGGTAAGTGTTTATGTACAAATGTTGAATAAAAAACAGATGATATTAATCTACAAATGATGCTCTTTCGATTGGTATAATTTTCGTAAACACATTTAAACGAGAAAACAACTAAAATAGCGTTTTAAAAACTTAGACATTATGCAAAAATCGTGACGTCTAACTGAACGTTACACTACACATGCACCAGGCTACAAATGTCTTCTTTTAGAGAACGACTGAATGGAATGAAACCAAACATGGCATGAATGTTCCTTATGAGGTGCTGACCAAGTGTTGTTACTATGAAGCTGATCCATAATCCAAGATGGCCGCCAGCAGGGGACTTAGTTTAACATTGGACCCTAAGGGAAATACATACAAATGTCTTCTTTTAGAGAACCACTAAATGGAATGAAACCAAATATGGCATGAATGTTTCTTATGAGGTGCTGACCGAGTGTTGTTACTTTGAAGCCGATCCATAATCCAAGATGGCTGCCAGCGGGGGACTTAGTTTAACATGGGACCCTACGAGAAATACATACAAATGTCTTCTTTTAGAGAACCACTAAATGGAATGAAACCAAACATGGCATGAATGTTCCTTATGAGGTGCTGACCGAGTGTTGTTACTTTGAAGCCGATCCATAATCCAAGATGGCCGCCAGCGGGGACTTTGTTTAACATTGGACCCTATGGGAAATACATACAAACGTCTTCTTTTAGAGAACCACTGAATGGAATGAAACCAAACATGGCAAGAATGTTCCTTATGAGGTGCTGACCAAATGTTGTTACTTTGAAGCTGATCCATCATCCAAGATGGCAGCCAGCGGGGGACTTAGTTTAACATAGGACCCTATGGGAAATACATACAAATGTCTTCTTTTAGAGAACCACTGAATGCAATGAAACCAAACAAGGCATGAATGTTCCTTATGAGGTGCTGACCAAGTGTTGTTACTATGAAGCCGATCCATAATCTAAGATGGCCGCCAGTGGAGGACTTAGTTTAACATAGGACCCTATGAGAAATATGTACAAATGTTTTCTTTTAGAGAACCATTGAATGGAATGAAACCAAACATGGCATGCATGTTTCTTTTGAGGTGCTGACCAAGTGTTGTTACTTTGAAGCTGATCCTTCTTCCATGATGGCTGCCAGATGGGGACAATGTTTAACAAAGGACCCTATGGACAATACATACAAATGTCTTCTTTTAGAGAACCACATACTGAATGGATTGAAACCAAACATGGCATGAATGTTCCTTATGAGGTGCTGACTAAGTTTTGTTACTTTGAAGCTGATCCTTCATCCATGATAGCCGCCAATGGGGGGGGACTTCCTTTAACATAAGAACCTATGGGAAATACATACAAATGCTTCTTCTAGAGGTGCACTGAATGGAATGAAACCAAAACATGGCATAAATGTTTCTTATGAGGTGCTGATTAAGTGTTGCTACTTTGTTGCCGATTTACTGTTCAAGATGGCCACCAGGATTTTTTATTAAATTACAGGACCAATATTAAACCAAATTTGGCCTCACTCATTATTAGGGTATCTGTTATGATTTTAATCTATTTTTACATGATTTCCAAAACCAAAGTAGAATCAGGTGAGCGACACAGGCTCTTGAGAGCCTCTAGTTAAAGTTCTTTAGCCACGACTAATCAGATAAAATCTAGGAGTACACTTATATCTTAAGGATAAATTACCTGTGCCATTCTAAGTTCTTCCTTAGGTTCTTTTTGAATATTTATGATACCTATACACATGGCAAAAAAACTATCGAACGCGATGGCAACTATTAGACAGATACTGCCGCTTAAGAAAACAAACATGAATTGTAGGGATACCCCATTCATCATACAGTTAAGTGATTATTAAGACAATTGTAACAATTATTTTTCAGGTTTCACCTGTTTCATCTAGCAATAAATTAGAATGTGAAGTTGATCATCTGACCGATTTTGCTGGAGGGTATTTCGTATTACCTAATATTGTCGATCCAATTCAAGATGCCTTACTATTTCTGACGTTCTTTGACAACCCAGTTGTAGTTTCCGTAGTGATATTGGTCTGGTTGATATATTTTGTTAGTCTGTACTTGGCAAGACAAAAAGATAGGAGGGATAGACATTTGGTAAACAAATAATATTAAATGATTAACAGTTAACATAACACATCCAAAATGATCTTCATGGTTTTTCATCAGGAAACGCTTAACACAATAAATTGTAAATCCAAGGATGTGTAAATACTTGAGACCAATGAAACCATAAAGTGCCTTACATGGATACTAAATACATATATGGTCTAGTTTGCCTACGGGATTTTCAACCTAAATTTCTAAAAAAAAAAGAAAGTAAGAATTATTCAACGGCAAATTTTGAAATTTGTCTGTCATAAATTTATCACAAACTTAGTATATAAACATAACACAAACTGATTGTTTGATAATGTAATAAATACTACGCTGAACACTAATAAGGTCAAACTTATATTTATATTAAAAATAAGTTAAAGATAAAGACATTTTTGAAATAAGTATGAATGACAACTACATTCACAAAAGGCAAGGAATTGAAAAAATATAGGTCAGTGTACGACCTTTAACAATGAGCAAAACAAAACAGTACAATATAGTTAGCTATCAAAGTAAACGATCCAAAAGAGAAAATAATGGTCAAGTTAATACTAAAACAGTAAACAATACAACAATTGTGTTAGACAGTAATCATTTACATCCACTGATTAACATGGTCATGGTCATGACAGGCAATTAAAGTATTCAGTTAAAAATAGCTCATTAGATTATAAGATTTTTGAACCAAAACTATGTAAACAATGTGTAAGACGAGTCCAGAAAGTATCAACTTCACATTGGGATGCATTTTTTCGAAGATATTTCTATAAAATTGAAAGTTTAAATGTGTTTTCCTGAACAAAGTTTAAATCGAGCTATACAAATGGCAGGATGGTTTAAATGTCATAATATTCGACGATGAAAGCGTGAAATCAAATTTCAGCTCTTTGACTATTTTAAAGTTCTACATAGTTTATCTTGACAATTTAATGAAACTGATGTTTTTTTCATGAAAAATTTATCTTGATTAACACCTTATCTTCTGTAGGATGGTATAGTGACACCTTGTTCAAGTGATCCTTCAGAACCGTTTAAATATCTTATGTGCATTGTCACTGGATGGCGGTATGACGCTAGAACTACAGCAATTGTTTCATGCTATATCAAAGGTAAAAACGGACATACTGCAAGGCATTGTTTGACAAGGACTTCATCGCCGCAGTTTTTATTTACAACTGGGGCCGAAGACTGGTTTCTTATTACTTCTTCCTACGATATAGGAGACGTGGTGAATGTGATTATATGGCATGACAACAGTGGTTCCTCACCATCATGGTTTGTATACACATCGTTTATTTCAAAATATTAAGATTTTGTTAGAAATTTATATTCCAAATTGCTCCAATTATTATATGTCAATTTAAAAAAAATTATGTTTGTCAAAAATATGAGCAGACTAAGATTTCAAATGGGACTAACCGCCTGAGTGACGATACAATGTTTTGTGCAGTCATCTAGTGTCCCAATTCGTTATAAAATGTAAACCGAAGCATCTGAAATATTCACGAAATAATTATTTGATGTTTAGATATAACAAATCAATCAATTTAGAATAAATATAGAGATAGCGCATCAAGTTACGGCAATACAAAGCTAATCTATTGCACACAATATTGATTCACATTTTGGAAAGATGCATAT